CAATCACAACAGTGCCAACAGTGCAATAAAGCTACTTTCTCTTGGGATGCCTGGGTGGCTCAGTCTGTTAAGAATCAGCTTTCGGATCAGGTCATGATCCCGGGGTCCTGGGATTAAGTCCTACATCAGTCTCCTTGCTCAGCCTGCCCCTCCCTCTGCTTGTGCTCTGTCTCTCTCTCTCTCTAATAAATAAATAAAATCTTAAAAAAAAAAAAAGCTACTTTCTCTTTTAACAACAAGAGGAATATGGAGTTCCCCTGGCCAGATATCCCTTAGCAATCATGTTTTTTTAAAAAAAGCAACAGAGAGATTAAGGATTGCCTATGGCCTGGAATTGAGAAAAGCATGCTACCTACACAGGGTTTATTTTTATTTTTTATTTTTTAAAGATTTTATTTATTTATTTGACAGAGAGAGAGTGAGAGCAGGAACACAAGCAGGGGGAGTGGGAGAAGGAGAAGCAGGCCTCCCGCGGAGCAGGGAGCCCGACGCGGGACTCGATCCCAGGATCCCGGGATCATGACCTGAGCCGAAGGCAGACGCCCAACGACTGAGCCACCCAGGCGCCCCGTCCTACACAGGGTTTAAATGGAGGGTCCTGACCCCAGCACTGTAACCCAATGAGCGAGACTCCTGAAATACTCTGATAATGCTACTGTACAATACACAAACACTCCAAAATGAGTAAGAATATCCACACCTTCTCTTTTGGTATTAATTGGGAAAACCTGGGCTAACTTGCTCATAAAAAGAATGACAATCAGATTTTTTTAAAATCCATACTTGAGTAACTCAGTGAAAATGGCAGAGTAAGGAGTTCCAAAAGTCTGTCCTATGTTAAATCAATTAAAAAAAAAAAAAAAAAAAACTGATAGAAACTGGCAGAACCAACTTTTCTGGAACTCTGGAAACTAACCAACAGCTTGCAACAACCTCTTATTGCACCTAAGTCCAGTGAAACACTTAAAAACAATCTGAATTTTGGTTAAAGTAATGAGCTTTATTAACATTTTAACTTACCCTGGTTCCATCCTCTATTCTCCAGCTCAGTGGTAGCCTTGAAAATAGCTTGCCTTCTTAGTACCAGTATCAAAAGGAGGAAAAAAAAAAAGAGAGAACAGACCTCATGCACAAATTTTAATACAGTGGACCCTTGAACAACGTGGGGGTGTTAAGGATGCCGAACCACCTTCATGCAGTTGAAAATCCACACAGTTGAAAATCCACACAGAACTTTTGACTCCCCCAAAATTTAACTACTAAAAGCCTACCGTTGACTAGAATAGAAGCCTTACTGATAACATAGTCCATTAACACATATATGTTACGTGTATTATATACTGTATTCTTAAAATAAAGCTAAAGAATATTGAGAAAATATTTATAGTACTACACTGATCAAAAAAAAATTTGTGTATAGGGTGCCTGGGTGGCTCAGCCGTTAAGCGTCTGCCTTCGGCTCAGGTCATGATCCCTGGGTCCTGCGATCAAGCCCCGCATCAGGCTCCCTGCTCGTCGGGAAGCCTGCTTCTCCCACTACTAGTCCCTCTGCTTGTGTTCCCTCTCTCGCTGTGTCTCTCTCTGTCAAATAAATAAATAAAATCTTAAAAAAAAAAATTGTGTATAAGTGGACCCACACAGTTCACACCTGTGCTTTTACAGGTCAACTGTAAAATGGGTGCCTTGAAAGACCAGCACAAAAAACTTGCCTTTATCTTGCTTAACTCAGAATCCTCCAAGTGCTAAAAAGTCTCTAGCTGGAGGAAGTTTCTTGAAAATATTTACAGGCGAATAAACACATCAGTTGCTGCTGCATGAGACAATGGATAACAGTTGGGGGAAACAATAGACTAACCAGACATTGGGAGGAAAGACTGGAGAATAAAATGCTTTGGGGAATAAGGGCTTTGAAAAGCTCCCGCACATTCATTCCCGGGGAATCTAGAAAGCCATGTGCATTCCCAGAGTGGGCGCATGCTCAGAAAAGATCTGAGAAGGCCCTAAACTCTCATCTCTGGCAGATCTTGAGGCTCTGCACAAGCAGGAAGTGAAGGCTAAACAAAGCTGTACACTCCCTGGCTGGGCCTTGAAGGTGTGCTGTGATATGCACACAGAGCCCACTGCAAAGACTAGGAGATGGGGGAGGGGGGGGCTTTAGACGTTTAAGGAAAACTATCCAATCACTAATTGACCCCTAAGGTAATGAAACTAAGACTTCAGTACCACACATCACAAAGAACACATACTTTACAGAATTAGTTCAGAAAAGTCACTAAACAAATGATACCCAAAGTAGCAGTAATAATAAACCTTGGGGTGGGAGAACAATCTGATTCCCAGAAATGCTACACTGTAATATTCAAAATGTCCAGTTTTCAACAAAAAATTACAAGGAATGCAAAGAAAAAAGAAAGCAGAGCCCACGGGGGGGTGGGGTAGGGAGACAATCAATATAAATGGTTCCTGTAGAAGCACAGACACCGGACTCAATAGACACTTTAAATCAGCTATTTTCAAGATGTTCAAAGAGCTAAAGAAACTGCTAATAGAATGAAAAAATTGGCGGCAGACTAGGAGAACTATCTTCAAATCTCATATCCAGCAAAAGATTTGAACGCAAAATATATGAAGAACTCTTTAAAAAACTCCACAATAGGCAAACAACCAACCTAATTTTAAAATGTGCAAAGACGATATATGGATATCAATTAACCACATGAAAAGATGCTCAACATCATTATCCATTAAGGAAATGCACATTAAAGCCACAATGAAATATGACTATACGTCTACCAGAACAGCAAAAACAAGAAAAACCGGCCAATACCAAGTGCTGATGAGGATGTGGCATAAATGTAATTCTCATACATATGGCAATAATACAAACTGGTATAGCACCACTCTGGAAAATAGTCTGGCAGTTTCTTATAAAGTTAAAACATACATTTACCATATGATGCAGCAAACTGATATCTAGGTACTTTTAAAGAAATAAAAACTTTTACACAAAAAAACTATGTATGAATATTTATAGCAGCTTATTCATAACCTCCAAAAACTGAAAACAACCTAAATATCGTTCATCAGGTAAATGGATAAACACACTGTGGTACATTCACAGAATTCTCAGCAGTAAAACAGAACAAACTATTAGTACAGTATAACAATACAAATGAATCTCCACAACACTGTGTTGGGTGAAGGAAGCCAGTCTCAAAGGTCAGATCCATTATGGTTCCATTTATACCACATTCTGGAAAAGTTAAAGCTACAGAGACAGAGAATAATAGATCAGTGGTTGCCAGGGGCTAAGGGTGTAGGGAAGGTTTGACTCTAAAGGACAGCACAGGAATTTCAAGGTGATGAAAGCATTTTGTATCCTGACAATGGTGGTAGTCACATGAATCTATATATGTATTCAAATTCATAGAAGTACCAAAAAAGAAGTCAATTTTACTGTATATAAACTTTTATCTTTTTAAAAGATTTATTTGAGAGAGAGCACACGTGCCAGAGAAAGCATGAGCAGAGGGAGGAGCAGAGTGAGAAACACACTCCCTGCTCAGCAGGGAGAGGGACAAGACCAGCTGGAGGCTGGACCCCAGGACCCTGGGAATATGAGCTGGTCTGAAGGTAGACTCTTAATCGACTGAGCCACCAGGCACCCCAGTATATAAATTTTTAAATTAAAGGAGAAAAAAGACTGCAGGGGTTCAAATCTCAGCTCCACTTAATTTCTCTTCGCCTCAATTTTCTCATCTGAAAAACAGAATCTGACTTTATGTTATTAAGGGGGATTACATGAGTTCTTGACATATATTAAGCACTAAACAAGTGATTGATAAATAAAATATTTTGTTCAAACATGCCAAAAAGTTGGTACTTTTTAAAAACCTACTACAGGAGTAAGAAATCTACTTTTCAATTAAATGAGCAAAGAAGTAAAGAATATTGGAATTAAAACCCATAATTCCTCATTATCATTAAACATTCTTTGGAAACCTATTAAGTGATTAGCACCAAATTACCTTCTGCAAAGTGTGAACCTGTGTAGAACCTCTGAACATGAGCCACTCTATTTTAGGGACTAAAACCTCATCTTGTTTTTTGAAACAGTAACTACTCTGGACTATTGAACTGGGCAAAAGCATATGACCAAACACAAGACTGTTACACCGATATTTTTTTTTTTTCTTTAAGATTTTTATGTATTTATTTGACAGAGACAGAAAGAGAGGGAACACAAGCAGGGGGAGCGGGAGAGGGAGAAGCAGGCTCCCCGCTGAGCAGGGAGCCCGACGCGGCTCCATCCCAGACTCTGGGATCATGACCTGAGCCAAGGGCAGATGCTTAACGACTCAACCACCCAGGCGCCCCAACACCTATATTCTTGATAAAAAAAAAAAACTGGACGCAGGTGCCTGGGTGGCTCAGTTGGTTAAGCGACTGCCTTCGGCTCAGGTCATGATCCTGGAATCCCGGGATCGAGTCCCCCATTGGGCTCCCTGCTCAGCAGGGAGCCTGCTTCTCCCTCGGACCCTCCCCCCTCATGCTCTCTCTCTCTATCTCATTCTCTCTCTCAAATAATCTTAAAAAAAAAAAGTTGAAAAAACTGGACGCTGCAATCTTTTCCTAACAACTGTACTCAGAAAACTAATTAATTGTAAAATGTAATTATTACCTTCCAATCATCGTTTTTGGAAAACAACTTTCCCGATATGTCCCCAAACTGCTAACAGAGACCCCTGACTCTTACACCTCGGTGTTGAGCTGCTACCCGAATCTGTGCTCCCTTGAACTGCAATTCTAAGACCCTTTCAAATAAATGCTTTTATTTCAGTGCTTCCTCTCTTCTCAGCGAACAGAAGTTTACAAAATCCTTCTGTCAAGGAGCTATCGAAAGGTTAGTTCTAAGTACTAAGTACTATTGTACACTAACAGCAAATGCTGCAATTAAGACTTAGTACTAAATGTTCAGTATCACTGCCCCTCTTCCGGAGGGGCTGTTAAATGGCAACCTCCTTTCCCCAAGTCAGGTGAAGTCCGCAGCGCTGAACTTGCTGCTTGCTTTGACGCCCTACATGCCATCTATCACTTGCCCGGCCGGTCACGCCTTCCTCAGGGGCCTGGGGCTTTTAAGCAGCAGCACCGGCTGCAATAACGGGGACTCCTATCTTCCCAGCGTCGCTCTCACCTGAAAATTAGCCTCCTTTCTGCGGCCAAGTATCCAAAATCTACATTTGTACTTTGAAAGCGGGTTCAATGGGGACCCAAGATGGCGGCACCCTCAGCGGGGAGCACCCGCTCGCCCCGAGAACCCACAACCGTCTGCGGTGGCCGCGCTGCGGGCGGGCTGAGGTGCCCGCGAGTTCAAGGCCCCGCGGAGCTGCTTTACCAACCCCGAGGCCAAGAAGACCCCGAAGGGAGGCCGTGAGGAAGGACTCCCAGCCCTGGACTTGACATCCATTTGCTGTCCTTTCAGACCAAAGCCTGGCACCAAGTGGCAAACATCTAAAACTTTTTTTTTTTCCCCTGAAGATTTTATTTGAGAGAGCTAGAGAGAGCTGGGGGGGGGGGCAGAGGGAGAAAGAGGCTGAGCAGGAAGCCCAATGCCAGGGCTTGATCCCTATACCCTGGGATCATGACCTGAGCTCAAGGCAGATGCTTAACTGAGCCACCCAGGTGCCCCAAACATCTAAAGCTCTTAAGACTAAAAAGGAAATAGGAAAACTGTGAAGTTTCTTGGTATCAGAGCATATCCTTTCTTCTCAACAGGGTAATCCATGAACAAAGTAGGAATTTGCTTTCCATCATGGTGTACATAAGGATTTGGGTCAAAATAAAATAAAAATAATAAAGATCACATTAAAACATTTCTTAAAAGTTCAATTCTATTCTATTTGGCAGATATGTATTGACCATATAAGTGCCAGTCACTGTTTGAGTTATGAGGCTATAAAAATGAAAAAAAAAAAATAAGTCTCTCCCCTCATGGAACCCATTACTGGAAGTCACAGTGTTCAGATCAGGCATGGAGTCTGCCAATTTTATCCTCAGCATTCTAATAAACCTCATAACATCCCTGAGATCCAAAGTCCTATCTAACAGAAGCAGCTGCAGGTGATTCTCAATTGTCCTATGCAGGTACCCCAGGCCCCTACCACACTCACCTAGGAGAAGGGATCTGAGATAGGTACAAAAAGGTAGCTATCTATAGTTTGTCCAGAGCCTCTTGAGGTAAACTGGCCTGAGAACCCTGCCCAAAAGGGTATAGGACAGTAGCTGGACAACCTACTTAGAGCCTCTTTCTTGAAGAGGCTGACTGTAAGAAAGAGAAAGCCAATTCTCCAGTAACTTCAGAAGCCACAGAAGCAGAGAGAAGTAAACTAAGTCACCAAAAATGGTGGTATCACTGACATACAAGTACCGGTTATCCCAACTTACAAAGAAATGTTCTCTGGAGGGCGCCTGGGTGGCTCAGTCGTTAAGCGTCTGCCTTCGGCTCAGGTCATGATCCCAGGGTCCTGGGATAGAGTCCCACATCAGGCTCCCTGCTCAGCGGGAAGCCTGCTTCTCCCTCTCCCACTTCCCCTGCTTGTGTTCCCTCTCTCGCTGTGTCTCTCTGTCAAATAAATAAATAAAATCTTTAAAAAAAAGAAAAGAAAAGAAATGTTCTCTGGAGTCGCTATTTGCTATCAGCTTCCCAGAGCAACTCTTATTTCCAAATGATTTCTGAGGCCATTTCCTGTTTCTTCCAACTTAACTGTGTATCCTTGTAATAAGCCTCCATCAGCTGAGGTTAGCCAAACAGGCCTCTATTTCTTACACTGTGAAAATACATAACTATCACATACATTGCTTTCCAGTTACTTCAATGATAGTGCCTTACAACATTAAGTGCAGCCTCATTATGCTACAAGATAATAGAGGGATTAAATAAAACCCCTGTATAAAATGCATGGTGGATTCTGTTTATTTCTTCTGTTTGACTACAAGTCATCACAATATGAATTACTTATGACGGAAAAACATAAACGGTTCAAATTACAAGAAATCACACTGAAACCACTCAACATCACATTTTTAAACAGGACACTAAACCAGTGAATCTCACCACACACGGAGGAAGTTCAAAAGTCTAGCTCCCCAGCAACTATTCCAGAAGTAATTAATCAGGAAATCTGAAGATGGGATCAGGAGCATAGTCTCTTTTTAAAGCTGCACCTGAGTCTGATGCCTAGCCAGTGCTGAGAACCTTGGCACTGAGGTGGGGAGGCACGAGGTACAGGCATTGTTACACAAAATGTGGTCCAGGGACCAGAAGCAGCAGCGTCACCTGGAGCTTGTTAGAAATGCAGAATCTCAGGCTCCACCCCAAACCTATTAAATTAGGGATCACATTTTTATAAGATCTCCAGGTGATTTGTAGGCATATTAAAGTTTGAGAAGCACTGTTTAGAGCACCCACTGCTACAGAACTATGAAAAATACCACACGCCATGTTATAAAGTTTAATACCACAAGAAATGTTCTAAGAAGAAACAGGAATAGAACAGTTTAAGAGGTAAAATGTTGAGGCGCCTGGGTGGCTCAGTCGGTTAAGCGGCTGCCTTCGGCTCAGGTCATAATCCCAGGGTACTGGGATCGAGCCCCGCATCGGGCTCCCTGCTCGGCGGGGAGCCTGCTTCTCCCTCTCCCTCTGCCTGCCTCTCTGCCTACTTGCTCTCTCTCTGTATCTCTCTGCCAAATAAATAAATAAAATCTTAAAAAAAAAAAAAAAGGGTAAAATGTTTCTGATATTAGGCATTTCACATTATCTAATTAACATTAAGCTTCAAATGCAATCTTATTCCAAATGAATTCTACTTACAAACTACACCCTCCACTGGCAAGAGTTATATCTCAACTGAGTAACACAACTGTACTTTATAACCCCAGAGCTCCAGTTACCTCCACTGAGCTAGTGTGTGCTGAGGGGGAGTCCTTGTGGAGAAATAAGGGGTGTAGTGACAAGAAGGGATCATTTACATGAATGGCCCATGCTGGTGGGCCTTCCAGTTTTTTTGTGAACATCTCTGTACTAGTTTCAAAGGACTATTTGGAAATGACGATTTTTACTGCTAGAAAAACTAATTCTCCACATATTATGCAAATTGTCTTCTGTGCCCCTTGTTCTTGGCCAGCTCTCAGAGAAAAAGCATTTAGTTATCTTCCAGTATAGTGATTCCTTGATTAATGTATCTTCGGGAAACAATGCTCCAGTACAATGAAGGCAGCCATCTCAAACACAAATGAACTCTGAATCATAAGCAGCAAGCCTGGCACGCATTGTAGGGCTCATCAGCAATGCAATTGTTAACCTGCTCATATGCAGCAGAGGAGGGACAAAAATCACCTCCTGTCACAGCTTCCATTTATTTATTCCCTGAGAAGTAGTCTGACCTGGCAATAAGCAAAATGACAACAGCAGAAAACTGTTTTCAGATCCTACAGGTTTCCTTTTCAGTACCCTTCAACTTGCCCTAGGAGGACCCTGACCCTCTTCAAGAACTATACATCACACAAGAGAACTTGGAGGTTCATAAGCACCTTCCCTAGAATAAACTTATAAAGTAGTTTGAGAATGAATAATTCCCTTTCAAAAGATGCAAAGGGAGGGGGGTTACTCTAAGTGATTTTTCAGTGGCCATATTAGAATAAAGAACAAAACAGGGGCGCCTGGGTGGCTCAGTTGTTAAGCGTCTGCCTTCGGCTCAGGTCATGATCCCAGGGTCCTGGGGTTGAGCCCAAGTCAGGCTCCCTGCTCAGTGGGAAGCCTGTTTCTCTCCCTCTCCCACTCCCACTGCCTGTGTTCCCTCTCTCGCTGTGTCTCTGTCAAATAAATAAATAAAATCTTGGGCGCCTGGGTGGCTCAGTTGGTTAGGCGACTGCCTTCGGCTCAGGTCATGATCCTGGAGTCCTGGGATCGAGTTCCTCATCGGGCTCCCTGCTCAGTGGGGAGTCTGCTTCTCCCTCTGACCCTCTTCCCTCTCATGCTCTCTCTCATTCTCTCTCAAATAAATAAATAAAATCTTTAAAAAATAATAATAATAAATAAATAAATAAATAAATAAAATCTTAAAAAAAAAAAAAACAGCAACAAAAATCTAGGTAACCTCATGTTTCCAAAATGCATTAAGCATGGTGGTAGGGAGAGAAAATAAGATCAAATTAGAATTTGTATCAGTCAGGAACTGTATTCCACTGCTAGTTGTACAGGCCTAAGATAACAGTGGCTTTATTTATTTATTTTTATTTTATTTATCTTTATTTTTAAGATCTTATTTATTCATTTGTCAGAGAAAGAGAGAGAGCACAAGCAGGGGGGAGCGGCAGGCAGAGAGAGAAGCAGGCTCCCTGCTGGGCAAGGAGCCCATGCGGGGCTCGATCCCAGGACCCTGGGATCAGGGCCCAAGCTAAAGGACCAAGACCCCACCTAACTGACTGAGCCACCCAGGTGCCCCTAACAGTGGCTTTAACCAGATAGTTTATGTTTTCTCAAATAAAGGAGGCAGGAAATCAAAACCTCATATGATAACTCTGTTATCACTAGAAACTAAGTGAGATTCCATCCATTTTTCTGCTCCACCATTCTCAGTGCATGGCTTCCATCCTCAAGGTGACCTCATGGCCAGGATGGCTGCTAGAAGCTACACCTCCTTATTCCTGGTAGGAGAGGGAAGGAAGAGCAAAAGGGTATGCTGTGCAGCTGAGTCTCCTCTTTTTTTTTTTTTTAAGATTTTATTTATTTATTTGAGAGACAGCACGAGTGGGGGGAGGAGCAGAGGGAGAGGAGAAGCAGACTCCCTAAGCAGGGAGCCAGACACAGGGTTCGATCCCAGGACTCTGGGATCATGACCTGAGCTAAAGGCAGACGCTTCATCGACCGAGCCACCCAGGCGTCCCCGAGTCCCCTCTTTAAAGCACTTTCCTAGAAGCCCCACTCAACTCTTACTTGCATCTCATTGGTAAGCTGGTAGAAGCAGGTGGGCACATTGCCACATTAGGCAATATAGGGTTCCACTGACTAAGGAAGAAGGGGATAAATACTGGGTAGGCAACTAGGAGTCACTTCCTCCTAGTTGTGTGACCCTGAATAGATTATTTACCCCTACTAGGCCTCATGTTCTTCATCTGTAAAAATGAAGGTATAGTCATA